TGTCAGGATCGTCTACGACGTGTGGAGCCACGATCTGAGCTTTGGTCTTGGGGCTTCGGGTGTATCAACCTGAAAAGAGACTGCAAACCCGAAGTGCGAAAAGAATGCACTCGGGGTAGACGTCGCCTAGATCGACCGTTTCTTGCTGTTAGGTTGTAGCATGTTGTAGCGGGGGTGCTGATGGTAGGAGTATATAGCATTTGGTGGTGACAGCAGCAGTCAGTAGTATTGGTATTGGGAGAAGCAACACGAGAAGCAATGATCGTACTGGAAGAGAAGGCAGGTTGGTTTGTCATTGCGCCGTTTCGTGCCACCCAAATCGCAATACCTGTAGGCCCAAGCCCGAGGTGGTTTGTTCGTAGAGTGTCGTACTTGTTTGGCCGATAACCTTGACATCGAAGGCAGTGAAACTTGCTCGTTGGGCAATCCGTGGACCGCAGAAAGGTTGCTTCGCTTGGGGCATCGTCAAAATACTCCACCACCTTCTGATTCTGAGCCGAAACAGAGCATTCACGATCAAATGCCCAGAGGCCTTCGATCCGAAACCCTGCCTGGGCACCCCACGATCCCCAAGTTCGAAGTTCGAAGCAACAGAAAATCTTTGCTTCGGCTTGCTTTTAACGTACTGGCATCGTTTGCGGATCTAGAACTGCAGGTTGTTGAGTGATTCGGTGTCCGAGCTTTAGATATTTAAAAGCGCCTTAGAATTAGAAAGTCTCGCCGTCTCGCAGCATCGGCATCGAGGTGGCTGGATCTCGGCAGCCACGACTTCCAAGGCTGGACCTTTCTCGGTTGAGTGTTTGGGGCCTATAGAGTCTAGGGTTTCGGGGTCAAGCTCCCAAACCCTGGAGCCCTGCGACGTTTAGTTTTCAGAGCTAAGGGCCCAAGACAAGAGAGCCAAGTGGTAACAACTTCTCACAGGGTGTTGCGTCTTTGATGGCTAACCTCATAAACGTGAACTTTTCGCGGGGTTCCATAATTCCTATGATTTCCGTTTTTTTGGGGGGTTCCAGGCAGACCCTTTTCAACGATCAAGCGAGGTCTGGACCTGGGATGTTACTACGGGTGCTTTCGCTCGCAGCGCAGCTGAGCCAGCAGCCCAGCCCAGAACGCAGATAAAGTTTTGGGTCTACTCTAGGGGAAACCCAAACATTTAGCAAGGATGTTCGCTTGTAGTCCCTGATCCCACCTCTGGTTTAGCATACCGATCCTCAAACGCTGTTGGAATTATCACGTATCAGGGTTTGCGCGCCCATGCGGCGCTGTCTGCTGGATAGGGTTTGGGGTCTAGGGACTGCGTTGACTCTGTTCAAAGGTAGGTCCCCAAAATAGTACGGCACCCTTATAGAAAGGACCCTCAAAAGAACCGCAATTAATTTGGAGGAGTACCGACTCGGTACCTTTATAGAAACCCGATAGAAGCCCTTATAGATCCCTTTAAGGAACCCCAACAGAGACGCTAATTTATTCTGTATATGGGTATTTAGTTCATAAACCCTAAACCGAAAGCTCTGGTCTAAACAGGCTTCAGCAGCATGCATGCATGCGCCCACATGAACTCCTTAGAGCTCTTGATCGTTACAGTATGAGCTGTTCTATGCCCCGCAACCCTGTGTTCAATTGTTCGGGCCCCTATACTACAACCCCAGACAACCCTAAGCACATCAGATGAAGCCCGTAGTCTAGTCGTTTACTATTGTAAGGCCTCCATGTTAGCGTCTGCTTTTGAGGACTTCCGCCTTCGGTACGGCCTTGGATGTGCCTTGGTGCAGAGAGCCTCGAGGGTGCCGGGATTTAGGGTTGCCGAGCGTTCCGTAAGGGTTCTATCTGAATAGTTAGGGTTCTGCAGCAGTAGGATTTATAGGCTTGGGCTTTGGGTGTATAGGGTTTATGGTATTTCAGTTTTAAGGCGTTCAAGCTTCTTGTTCCTTGCACGTTACAGCCGCAGCGCCAGATTTCAGAAAATTGTACAGCTTTACGGTTCACATACGCCGGCATCGTATGGATTTGGGGATTTCTTCAACATGCCAAGGCCGTCCCAAACCCTGACACACCCGCCCCCCTCTACAGCACACTCAACGACGTAAGTCCTTCGAGCCCCCAAACCCCAAGCCCCAGTAGCCCTCTAAGCTAGACCCAGCGAGCCTTGGACCCGACAGACAACTGACCAATAAACTGCTATAACCCTAAGGCGCAAACTCGACCCCTAAATATCTGTCATCACATCAGCTGAAACAGGCACTTCTTTTCGGGTCGGGGGAGGTTCACCTTGATTGGAAACCGGGAATGGAAAGTGTTAAACCTTTGGGGTGGATTTTAGGATCTTGTTCAGGGTTCAGGGTTTGGGACCTGGAGTTCATAGATTTCGGATTTCTGAATGTTGTTTTTTGCACGGTTCAGGGTAGCCTCGCCTCCATTGAGTGCTTGTCGGCCTCAGCTTAAAAGCAGTCCAGCCGAAGAGGCGACACTTGGCTTGGCTGGGAAGGTTGTGCAGCATGTTCTCTTGCATTGCTGCGCTGCATGGTCTTCGAATTAGATCTTACATTACCGCCTGATGGATGGCATCAGCAAACACGTGACCAAACCACCGTGCCCTTGATCAACAACTCCATCACAAAATTCGTTGATGCTCCAGAGGTTTCCTGTCAGCTGGTGGAGGGACAGCATCCAAGTCAGCATTTGCGAGGCTCTGAACAGCTGAGCCCCCTTGAAGCCGTGCCCGAAATCCTTAATACCCCTAAGAGGATTGAAGCACAAAGCATACTGAAACTGTAAGCCACGGAAATCTCAATTTTCTCAAGCGCTATCACTATTTGGACACATCTTGCAGCCCAAGTCATATCTACTCACGGGCCCTGAAGAAGGTGTCCTTGCCAATGGCTCCCTCGTCGCTGTGGCGTTTCGGTGAGGCCGGGCTCAATCCGTGGATTTAGGGCTTTTGCGCATGGCGACTGAGGTTTCGCTGAACGGGTTCTAGGAGCTCTGGGGTTTCGGGTATACAGGGACCTGAGCATTATAGTAGCATGTGGCAACGTGGCAATGCTTCTATGTAGGGCTCCCAGGAAGTACTCGTGTCTTATACACATAATTACTATGCATGTGCACATGTTTTGTTTGTGCGTGACGTCTGTAAAGGTCCAAGTGTTTGACGCAAGCGTAAGCATCACTCCTTCCCGCCCCCCCCGCCATATCTGAGTATTGGGTCTGGAGTTTTAGGATAATATCTGTGCGACACTTATAGGCTATTACGGGGAGCCAAGGCCTATACCTTAAACCCTATTACGGAGGTCAGCAAGAAGGCTTGCAGACGCAATGAAAGGTCAGCTTCGCTGCCTTCCGTAGACGGAACTTTCAGCGACATGGTCAGATGTCGTAAGCCCGAAACTTCGGCCAGAACCTATCGTCAAGTTCTCGGATCCTCCAAGCATGAAGCAGGACTGCGAGCTCGGGATTCATCCAAGGGAGCGCTAAGTAACAGTAACAGGAAGATTACGTAATTATGCAAACCTCTGTTGTCGGCCGAGTTGGCAGCCTCTCTCTCTGTCCTCACCGTTACTAAAAAAACACCTATGTAAACTAGAGTCTCCTGACGGGGACTAGGACTAAGGATAGGAACAAATCAGCTTCCTGAGAAGGTGATGATGGACGGTCCTCTGTGGACTTTGCCCGTTCTTGTGGGCTCACCAGTCACATGGTCCAGGCGCCGCTCGCATTAGCCTGTGGTTTTTTGGCTTAGGGAGAGGTCCTGTCTCTATGTCGGGTTTTCGTGTGCATTTTTCTTCTTGGAATTGAATTGGCTTTCGTTGGGAATCTCGTCCTTCGAGCAACACAGGCACAGTATGCCACTAATCTTCCCAGGTCTTTTGCGTCACTTTTGTGACTTACTTGGTGCCCCAGTTTTGTTTTAAACAGGGTCTTCAGCGGTTTCTCCAACCACAACTGCAAAGGATACTTTTCTAGAGGCATGACTACACTCAGTTATTGCTGCTGAGCTTTTGCCGCTGGCAGGACTGCAGAGTCACCCGGTGCTTCCCTGCCGCGCAGTGTTTGGTTTGAAGGCTGACGGCCTTAAGATGCGGCTTTCAGGGTTTAGGCGTTGATCGGATGTTGGCTGTGATTATGAGGGTATCCCTAATTCCGAGTTGCTGCCAGCACAAGCGAGACCTGAAGCAACTGTATACCGACTCCCAGCTGCTGGTTCATTTTTCCGACGCTGTAAACACAGCTTAGATTCCAGGGGTTGAGGACTCTAGAGTGATGCTTCTGTTGAGCGGAGCTTCTGACAGAGCTCAACCCCGAAGCCCTCTATCCTGAACTCGAACCGCCGAAGCCGCTTGCCCCCAAAGACCTGTTTCATCAGAGCGCCAAACCTCAAAGCGTAAACTCTACCGATCTCCCAACCGGACTTCCGACCGCAAGCCCTTCTACATCAGAGCCCTGCGGTACATGGTTCACTTTGGTTGGCGTGCCGGGTTGAGGAATCAGGTGCACGAGAGGTTCAACACATATATATATATATATATATATATATATATATATAGGGGCTTTGTTACCAGTAATGCATCTATTGCTCCGGTGTGTTCCGGTTCGGGTTTGGCTTTGCGGGTAGACACGGCCCTGTGAGGGTTGTCAATGGGGGGCGTGCAGCTGTTTCCCTTCTCTTCAAAAAGGAACAAGCAAGATTTCTGAGCCGACAGCTTTCAGAAGCTCCTTCAGCCCCACACTCAGCAACTGACCCATCAACATCGCTCACTTGACCCCCTGAGTTCCAAAAACCCTACCAAAATACGTCAAAGTAAACCCCAAATATCCAGCCGTGCGAGCTGTAGAGCCCAACCTATAAGGCTCACACATCGACGGGGGGGAAACCTTATGAAACCCTGTTTAAACCCTATAAACTTGAACCCTAGGACCCTAAGGCCTAAGTCCTATCCGAAACCAAGTCAAACCTTCAACTGCAACCCTTTGGCCGTAGGTAAAGCGTTTGCTTCACTCTAGCCATGGCGGCCCCCAAAATGGCAGCGAAGATGGGGCTCAAAGGGGGAGCCAAGGAAGAGGACGAGTTTGGGGTGTCGGGGATTGGAGTTTGGAGCTTAAGATACTTATGGGTTGAAGGCATACTTCTACAAATACGTATGTGCATGTACATACATTCATATATATATATATATGTATATACATATGTATATATACATATATACATATATACATATGTGTACACGCATACGTGTATGTTTGTTGGACTTGGGGTCGGCGGATTCAGGTTTGAAGCCGCGGGGGTTTTGGGAGTTAACACTAGGCGTGTTCTCATTGGTGCGTGTTTTTTCCCGGGCATGAGTTTCTGTGGGTGGAGACGGGAGGGAGGATTTTTTCTGTGTTTGGGATTCAGGGCTTCGTCGAATCCTATAGTGGCAACGAAGGTAGACGTCGTTTCATGTCGAAATGCGATTCCTTGACAAGCGGAGCGGATTCTGGCAGGAGCGGCCGCCAATCGACTTTGACAAGATCGACGGTGAGAAGGCAGCTATACGCAGAGTTCATCTTTTGGAAGCTTACAGGGATGCCTGTAGGTAGCTGGTGTATTTCTTCACAGTTCGTCCTTCATCGCCAATGTAACTACATACGTAAGGCATGGGCCCCGAAGGCTAGATGGTATGCACGCAGAGCACATGAGCACTGCCAACACCTGAAGCTCTCAATCGCTCAACCGTTTCGTGCTCCAAGCTTTCAAGCTCTGAGCTTTGCGCATTCGAAGTTTCAACCTTCATGGCATATGGCATGTATACAGCTCAACTGATGTGATTTTTGAGTTTCATGTATCAGGACGAAGGGTTTGGGTGTAGGCTTCCGTCGGTAAGAATTACAGGTTAAATGAATGAGGGCAAATCAAGAAATACATGATATGTAGACATGCGTAAGTATATGAGCATATGATAAGCACTTGCGTAGTTAAAGACACGTGTACAATCATGTCCCTCTCTCTATTTGTATGTATACAAAAGTTTTTGTTTAGTCTGTATAGAAGTCCAACGCAAGGCTGTCGAACCGGTCTGCCGACAACTCCGGGTGTGCTCTGAATAAGCTTGCAACATAGGTCCGACAGCTGTTTTTGCTGCAAGTTTCCCGTCGAGGAACCCAGCACCTCCAACTCTGGGCATCACAAAGAATAGTTTGACGCCAGCATGTGAAATATCGTACTACCGGTGATACTGTCATCTTCATTGGTATAAACATCATCACCGTTGTGAACCGTAAAAATATAGAAGTTGGATGACGGTGGTCGTGTTTTTTCCATCTTTCATTTCCAGGTTGTCGAGAGGCCGATGTTCAAGCTTGGAGCTTTGGCTGAAAGAACTTGTGCATTTCTGCTTCGGGACTTGATAGATAGCGCCTACTTCGTCAACCGAAGGACTTTGCGCTGTGTGGAGGGTCCAGACTCCAGACTTAACATTGGGCTTTAGAGCCCTGGGCTTCTGACACGTAGAGCGCAAGCGGCTTCGATGTTCAGGGTTCTGGGTAGGTCAAGCGGGATGTCAAGCATGTTAAGGTCAACGCACGGCATCTTCAACCGCTCAATAGACCCCAAACTGTGGGTCTGAATCCTATGTTCTTTTTCATTCTGCACTTCTAGCATTCATGCGTGTAACATGCTCTGGCCATGAGAATGTAGTACATGATGCCATGAATGCACGCCGGCCATCCCAAGCCAGGAACCCAGCGATGTCGGCTATCGAACCCTAGATTAGGGTTTTTGAGGGTTTCAGGATACCCTAAGCCCGAACACACCCTAAACGCCGATTCAAACCCCAAACCCGAAATTAAGTTTGAAGGTTTAGGTTTCAGGGTTGACACCTCCAGGAGTGCAAGCCCATGGCTGCATGTCTCCGAAAGGTCGTGAAGCCAGCCAGTGCGACTTCCAAACTTGAAGCCCAAGTCCTATCAACCTGAAGCCCCGAAATCCGAAAGCGCAGCTCGAAGTATCGAAACCCGAAATCCTTACAAGCCGCAGAAAACCCTGATGGAGTCATTACGCAACCCTCCTCATCTCCATGACCTCTGAGACTCCGCAGTCTTGTAAATTTAAAGAGCACTTCTATATGCGAAGAGGCTTGATTGAGATTCTAGATCCGAGGCTTTGCGTCCGATGCTGTCATCCGGCAGCCGCCCCAGGTCAAAGTCAGCTCTTGCAAGCACAGGGGATTATATGAGGTTATGAAAGCGATACATTAGGGATGTTATGCGGTTCCCTTGAGGGTATTGTGTGGATGCTAGTGGCACTTCTCATAAGTCCCTAAATCCTTCAGGGCTTTCGGGCGAATAGAGCGCTGTGGTTGTGGTCTTGTTTGGTCTCTGCTGTCTTTGGGCTACCGTCGGGTCACTCAGACGCAGGGTGTGCAACCCGAGCCGCCTCCACCGAAGGCCTACACAGAACGCCGCAACTGTTAAATCCCATTCCCCTCTGAAACCGACCCCACAAACAAGTCAAAGAAATGAAGCCCAAGGGATCCTAACCATGAGGCCTGAAAGCTCCCATAACATTGACCCAGTCACAGGCCCTCTCTCGTCGCGCCCGAGTTGAACCCACAATTCCCCCTGAAGTTTGGGCTGTCACTGCTTAGGCATCAGATCACACCTCTCTACATGTGACAAAGGGCGCGCATCTCTGCAGGAAGTCTGTCCTGGAAGCCTTATCATACCTTGTAAGCTCCTTTAAGCCCATGAGAGACTCACAGTACACCTAAACCCTCAACCCTTGCTTAGAACAGTCCGAACCCGGGCATACATGGGCCTCAGGGGGTGTGGTGTCTAAGTTGTTCTCTATTTCAGAGTTCATGGTTGCTTAGGATGCAGATGAGGCCTTAGGCTGCAAGACATGGTTTGAAGTACACACTGACCCAAATTACATACAGCAGTTTCTGTGTTTACCGGCAATGACGGCATCGGTGATGTTCCGTAGCAGAAGCTTCGATCCTTACCCACAAGGTGCAGATGCTTAGCAATCATGTACTCACATCGGCTACCACTGCAACATGAAAATGCAGCACAAACACGGGCTGGTCCTTAAGGCATCCTGCTAGTGCAGCCTGATAGTCACCGGTTCACGTGGGGCACTTTGCCGAGGAACATGGAAGCAAAGCGGGCTGACAAGGACGGATCGGACCTTGCACAGACAGTCGGGGTGTGAGGGTTCAGAGAATTTAGCCTGTTTAGTTCAGGGCTCAGGGTTTTCAGGGTCTAGGGATCAGGGGTGTTGGAGCCCCGAGTTTAGGAATAAAAGGCTTCCATCGTTTGGGAGGGGATTCAGAGCCTTGGGATTCGAGTTTATTATTTTGGAACCTCTGTGAGCAAAAGGGGATGCGGAGTGTACGTACACCGCAACTACCCATCAATGTTTTTCCATTTGCTCATCGACCTATCCACCTATGGACATTGAAGCATAGTGAGGATTGAAACTGCAACACCAGTGACGGCTTCATGTTGAGAAGCTCTACATCATCCTGGGTGAGGCACCGCATCGCTTCCAGTCACGAGCAGGATAAAGAGATGGCAAGTCTTCCAGAGAACTTGACTTGGAATGGTGAGAAGGTTGACAGAAGTATGCTCGCGTCGGTGCTGGTGGTGCGGCAAGTCAGCGCACCCGACTTCAAGTGCAAGAACAGAAGTTCATGGTAGAGCCTCGGCCCAACCCAAACCCAAACCCCATGGGTCCCCAGAGAAGGCCCGCTTGCAATGCAAGGGCTTGAAGGTTTAGCCGACACTTGGGGCTTCAGGGCAATAAAAGGGTGACGAACCTCGTTGGGAGTCGGGCTAGCGGCGAGACTGATACAAGAAATATGTAGAGGTGTATTTGGGAAACCAGAGAACGTCGATAAATGGGATGGTAAAATTAGGTTCTAAGCCCTAAATTAATCCCAAACTAACAGTAAGACGTCCAGAATTGGGTATGGCTAGGGTCAGAAAGTAACCTACCTAGTGATTTTTGTTTGGAGCCCGGGCGTCCGTTGTCGGTGGAAGTGAGCCTTAAAGTGCTGAAGCTCCTAAGCCAGAAATGCAGAAGCAAGCTTGAAACACAGAGACCTGGATTGAAGCCCTGGAAACCTTCTGAGGTTTACAAGGCTTCGAGGGGGCTTTAAGCAAGGTCATATAGGCCCTAAGAGCCCTGCTGTGAGGCCTAAACATCAGCTTCCCCCCTCCTTGTCGAGAGGACCTGAAGATCTACGACTCTGCAACCCGGTTGCCCGCACCCCAGGAAGAACACTGATTTCACAGCCACCCCAAACGAATCTCCTGGACGAACTCCCGAATGAACTCCTACGCACCCCAAACCGTCCCAACCTCAACCCGAAGCATTGAAGCCTGAACCCACAGCCAAGACTCTAAGCACACAGCTTCGCCCCAGACCCCGACTGCACAATTCAGACCCCTAAAGCCTCGAACCCTAAAGCCCAGACCCTGGATGCCCAACCCTTGACTGAGGCTGCTCAACCAAGACCCCTTGCACATCCCATGCTGTGGGGTTTATGGTTTAGGAAGTGCAGGGTTGTAACATGGGACCCACATCAGGTCTTTCTTTGCAAATGTGTCTAAATTGTTTATTTAAACATAGCAAGTGGGCCCATGAAATCGTGGCAGTGTACCACGCGCGCTTGTGGGCCAGCACCTGCTTCCCAAATTCATTGATAGAAATACAGCGCACAACCGGTACATGTTAAACCCTGGCCATACATAGCTCTAATCAACCCGTCGCAAAGCCTGAAATGTTCGAATTCCCCCAAGAGCTTGGACGCTTAAGTGGCACATAGTCATAGACCCCTGGATCCTGCGCAAGCTGCTAGAACTCCATGCTCACAAGCCATGCTGCTCCAAACGAACCTCAGCACGCTACACAAACACTGGCAGTGCCAGACATCCATGAATCCTATGAGACCCTAAAGCGGCTTCTCCCCCCGGCCCCCACAGCCAATAGTCTGAGTTCTCAAGACCCATCATCACCCCCAAAAAGGGATGCCGTGGTGGCCAAGAGTGGCTTCGTCAACTTCAAGGTCACAGCCCCCAAGATTCTTGGTGGCAGAGTTTCGGTTTAGGGTTTAGGCCTTTGGCGAGGAGCTGTGTCCTTCGGGAATATTTGGCAGATGTATCCCGCCACCTAGAGCATAGCATGATCGACCTGTAGATCGTAGATCTGCATTTCAACTTACTCGTTGCTCCCCCTCCATGGCTTCCCGCTAACGCAGCTTCGGAGATCTCGGGGTTGTTGCCGAGACAGCTCTCATGGTTCCGTCGGTGCTTAGTTTAGGCGGTTTAGGGGCTAGATAAACTATAGCCGCCAAGTCAAGAAGCCTATTGCATGACATGCAAGGTGTCTGTAGAGTCCTGCTGGTCGAGGTCTTCATAATGCGGACTAAATTGTCCATCCCTTTTCCATCCTTTTCCTACTAGAGTTGCTCCACACGCTCCACTCCTAAGAAAAAGAGGGAAGTACCCTAAAGTGCCGTTGACCGTGCTCCTCGGGTGGTGAAGCTTGAGTGCTAAGTAGTAATGACCAGCCAACATCTCAGCCATTGAGTGGTATAGATGGCATATGCCGTAGCCCGACCGTCCTTTTTGCAGGCTCTCTTCACGAGCCAAATAAAATCGTAGCCCATGGCCCTATAAACCCCGCAAGCGACGGAGCATCAAGCTTTTTTGTCGAGCAGGGGTGTTAGAGCAACTGCAGAGCTTCGGGCGTCGGGTATATGGTTTAGGTCTGTGTGTGTGTGTGTGTGTGGTTGTTCAGGGCTTGCTGCGTGAGGTGAGGGTAGGTTTGGATCCTCTGTCTCAGGCTTCCCTCGATCCAGGACAAGTATGCACGTCCTCCCGGCCAGCTTTCGTAACGAAGGATTCAGTTCTATATGGGGGTGGCCTGAATACACAGAAGCAGAAACGGGCCAGAGTTGAGCAAAATCTCTCAAACCTTTCTAAGCCGCTAGCCTGCAAAAGAGCACTGACATGCTTACTTTGACAACTTGGAACCCCGATTTAGACACTCATAACCTGACTTGGAACTGCCGACAAGCGTCTTATGCGCCTGCTTTGGCATTTTTCCGACAGCCAGAACACTCCGGATCGAGCTACTGGTACCAGAAGACCATCCTGAAGTTTGTTATCTGTGGGCACTAACTTACAGCCCTAAGCCCGAAAAAAGCACCCAAAATCCCTAAGACAGAAAGAGATGATTTTGCCAGGCCGAACGAGCACGTCGACCTTAGCCTCCACCGTGGCTTCGCCGGCAGCGGATGCCTCACCGACTAGCACCTGAGCTGGTTTAGGCTGAAGAGATTATAGAGTTTCATGTTAAACAGTTTCAGAGGCTGAGCTCTGATCCGCCCTTCGGCAGAAGCCTGCAGAACCCGTAACGACGAAGTGTCTAAGCTGCGGGCCGAAAGGTCTGGGATGTGACAGGCACAAGCTGTCTAGTGTGTAGTCACTGTAGTCACACCGTAGCAACCATACTCGAACCTGCACTAAACCCTGAATGTCATGAAGCCCCACATCGTGCAAGATTAAAAGCACGGCGTAGTCAGAACAGGCCCCACCGCCCGGCAAAAGAGTTTTCAGAATCGTGCCCTAAATCCCAAAAAACACCTTAAACCGATAGGCCCGAAGTTGGACTTCCAGGCTCTCTTCAGTTCGGCTCGACCATGGGCAGCTCCTTCTCCGACTTCCGCAGCTCTGCTCGAATTTGGGGCTTCCGAGTCTGATGTATGAGTAAGGTGCAGAGGCTCGGGCTTGCGGGTCAGGCTTGGGATTTCGAGTTTCGGCTTAGGCTTGGGGTCCATTGGGGCTCAAGGTTCACAGGAAAGGCTTTGTTTTTCGTGTCGTTTACGATTTCGATTCAATTTCGGCAGCAGAAATAGTAGTGTAGACAAGGTTACAGCCTCGTGACTTGAAGCATTGTGGAAGTGTAGGCGACGCTGCATTGACTTTACAAGGAAACTGCTGCTGCTGCCACTGCCACTGCCACTGCCACTGCCATTGCTGCTGCTACTGTCACTGCCGAAGCTTGTTTCTACTCTCAGTATGTCTGCTGCTGCTACTAGTATTGCTCCACCATCAGCACCACCAGCCAAAAGCCTACTGATACTCCAAATCGAATATAGTCTTGACATTCATCGCCCTCAGTCTTGGAGTTTCCCAAAATCTGTGGGATTCAGGACTTTGGCTTGCGGGGCATCAGTGCCTGAATCGGAGTATCGAAAATTCGAACAAATCCTGTTGCGTAAGTCCGTGGCTGTAGCCTCTAAACTCTAAAGCCCTGTAACCCCAACCGCCGCTGCCCTCGCAGCCACAATATCCCGAAGTTGCAACCTAAACCTCAAACCCAAAACCTGAAGCACCAACTTTCTGAGGCCCTAAATTCCGAAAGCCTTGAATGCCTATAGACATGCAACTTTAGTCCCACGCGTTGCCCTGAGGTAAAAATGCGAAGTTCAGCCGAAATCTCAAAAGCGGCCTTGACGATGCGGGGAATCGCATGAGCCACGGCGGCAATCGAGTTTGGCATCGAGGGCAACGGAGACAAGGCCGCCATGTGCTACGTGCATATTTATATACATGTATGTGATCTAAACTTTTACTATATCTTACCATATTGAGTATGTCATACAAGATTTCGTATAAGACATGTTCAATATTGTAATATAGTATAATATGGTATAGTATAGTATATGGTAATTTTCATAAGCTATATTATCTTGTATAATACTGTATCATAGTGTACTATACTGTGAGATGTTGTGACATATTACGTGATCTTTGTATTATTTGCATTATATTACTAGTATGTGATATCACATCATGTTGTACAATGTTATGGTATATCATGATATATGTGCAGACTTGCAGGCTTCTGACCCAGGCGCTGGGTATTAGTATTGGGGTTTGGAGCCTCGGATTTGGGTTTAGGCTTGAAGGCTCTCTCCTAGCTCAGGAGCTTTCTTAAACCTTGAAGGCCGAGCCCTGAATGCCCAGCAACGCCGAGGAAGCGGGCGGACCAGTATTTCCAGCTGCTGATGAGGCATCACGGGGGTTCAAGCATGGGGTTATGACAAGGTTGCTGTATGTTCGCAGAGGGTGTTAAGATAGTCGAACTCAGGGTTTCTATATTCCGAATCATTGTTTATGATTTGGGAAAGCTTCCCCTGTAGCAGTACCTACGAGCCTGTGGGGTCTTTTTTGACTCTCGGCCTTCAGTCCACCAGGGCATTGCGGCACTATCGCAAGGCCTAGGGTTTAGGGAATCATGTTGAAGTGGCTCAACCGATGATTGCAATGATTCTGTCGGAAGGATAGGTAGCGATATGTCCACGCATGGCAGCTAGCTATGATGGCAATGCCTGTCACGGCAATACATTGATCATAATGAGTCAAGAAGCATACTTTCGTGGCCATAATGCCTCTGTTCGTCTCTGTGTGCATATACACTACAACTCTGTATATCAGGATCCCTATAAGATCGCGACGAACTCTCCTCTCCAGGGCAAAGCAGAAGAAGGATGATTCTGACAGGAAGGCAGCTGAGGTGCGGGGTGTGGTCCTCCGCGAAGGTTAGTGAGTTAGTGCTTCGTAAGGTGGTCTGTAGGGGTTGCTGCATGGTTTTGCTAGGGTTTTCGCGGCTGCCCGACGCACAAAGTTCAGGGGCGCGGGAAGGTCCACAAATAGCATTGCAAGCAACACGCTGCAGTCAAAAGCAATACCATGCGAAACTCCATTGGAGGCGCTTGCAACTCGCAACCTTGTTTGCATCCATCATGAGTCCCTAAACTCTGTATACGTCCTTTCTGTACGACATGCGACCACGATTCCTACTTAAACTCGAATTACCCAAGAAGCCTCAAGTGGGACTGTCTGTGAATCTCTAGATGTTTTCTTGGCTCTTGGGGCGGGGTCCACAAGGGTCCTCGAAGGCTGCAGGAGGAGCTTTGGAGCTTTGGGTTGAGGGGTTTAGGGCTTAGGATGGTTTAGGGTTTACGGCTGAGGCGCTAAAGTTCAGGGTCTTCCGGCTCCCGGCATTTTGACGCTCTTCTCACGTCCAGGCATTCGGACCTCCTCTCCCTCCAAAACTCCACCCCATCGAGTGGCCTTTAAGGTTAGTGGAAACGATTCTCAATGGGTCAATATGCATGGTTGTAATACCTCGGTTTGATCGGTTTGCGGTTGTCAGCGATTGTATGCGATTGCTGCTGGAAGTGCGGTGCGTTTCGATATCCCTCCAGCCCCACGCACAGCCACACGCACAGATATATATATATATATATATATATATTTATGTATATATATATGTATATATTTTTTCTATATATATATATATACATATATATATATATATATATATATATATATATCGAATCGTCCTTGAACCCCGATACCTAGATGCGGTGTCCTGTGGTGTCGATTTATGCGATGTAATTTTCTGCGATGGGGATACGGTTCTGTGGCGATGCCGATTCAATGTCGATTTTGGTATTGTTGCGACGCCCATGATTTGACTACCATGTTTCGGAGGTTTCAAGCCAGTGAGCTCTTGCCATGCAAGCTGTTCGGGGCCTTTGCTAGGCAGAGGGTGTCAATATAGATGCATCCAGAGATACATATTTGTATAGATATCCGTGCATATCTATATCTACATACATACATACATACATACATACATATGTATATATACATATACAGCTGTATAACATCTATAATCTGTAGGTATATACGTATTTATAAATATATATATATAGAGAGAGAGAGAGAGAGAGAGAGAGAGGGAGAGAGAGAGAGAGAGAGAGACAGAGAGAGTCAGAGAGAGTCAGAGAGAGTCAGAGAGAGTCAGAGAGAGTCAGAGAGAGTCAGAGAGAGAGAGAGAGAGAGAGAGAGAGAGCGCACCACGGTGGTATCAGAAGGTTCATGTGCTTGTGGAATTATACAGTATTCACAGACAGTAGAGACCCTAACTCAGACAAGCACCGGCTACCTTACTTATAACTTCTGGGCCCACGCGCCGTCAAGCTCCAACCAGAAAGCCGCACACCTGACGCCCCGAAGTTGTCAACGCATAATCCAAACCCGGAAACATTCCACATATGCACAAGAAACCACCAAACACAGCAAAGACGATCGACGGACACGACAACGCAGGAGCACTCCAACACGTACCCGAAGCCTACAAGTACATCGCAACAAAGCTTCAGACAATCCTCTCTCTCTCTCTCTCTCCCTCTCCGAGACGTTTAAATGACAGTGTTCTCTTGGGGCTTTAATCGCAGTTTTTTGATTGGGCCGTGTGGCTGCAGGCGGAGGAGTGGCGTCGTTGCGAGGGTGCGGCGCGCGTGGCCTTCGAGAAAGCCATTGGCGTGGTAAAGGCGCCCTATAGGGCTTACAGGTTGATTCGGTCGGGACCTGAGCTTGGCCCCTGGACTTCCCGAACATTGCCGCAGTCCTAGACACACCAAGGATGCCTCATTCCGTCATTGTCATTGTTCCGTGCTTAGACTCTTGCATTTGCGTTTCATCATAGCGCAAGTTTACAGGCTTCAGCCCTCAGCCATGGTGAATTTCTGCATGGGCCAATGAGAGCTTCGGAGGCTGAGACGAACCAAGCTCAAACTGGGCTAAATCCTGTTCTCCCGCGGAAGTACAGGCTCAGCCCAGCACTGCTTACAGGCATTCCCCGGTCCCCGACCGAAGCTAACCACCCGAACACTGAAGCATGAACCTTGTGCCACGACAGCTGGATGGCAGGAGCGTGACAACAACTCGGAGCCTTCGCGGCCATTAAACGGCATCATTCTATTGGCGCAGATGGGTTCTTCTGCTTGGGGTAAAGGCCCCGAAATTAGCCCCTAAGCCTTGTAAGCCCCGATTGTGATCTGTCCAGCACTCCGTGCTTGAATTCGTCCTGTCAATCTTTATTCTTAGCACAGCCACCCTGATACATAGTCTTGTCCCTTGGCTCTTCTACTCTTCAGCCGTTACAGTGTCCGAGGCGTTGCAGTGGGCCACCCATTATTCGTGATGAGGTTCCCAGGCTAGATGGTTACCTCAAGAAGTTCGGCTGCCCGACGTGTGCCAAAACCCTACACCCCAAAGTCCAAGACTCAATCCCAAGCCCGAAACCCCTAAACCCCAAAGCCTCAAATTTAAAACCCCTTAAGCACCAAAAGGGTACTACAATCCCTACATAATCCCAAGGTTCCACACTCGGTTCCCCTGGAGAGGTAAGTAAGCAGCCAGCCCAGGAGATGACCACCGACTCGGAAGCGGAAGAGTCCCAGGAGGAGGACACGATGAAGGGTTTAGGCTGGCTTGGGGTTCAGGTCTTGTTCAGAGCAAGTAGGAGACTGTAGACTGTTGTGTTGGCATTTGGCGCATCTCAGGGTATCCGACAAGGAGACTTCGGTACTGGTTCATGGCTTTTGGTGGTAAGGTCGGTATGGTTTCATGAAATGCGTTTCGAGGTCACATCTCACCTAGAGCGACCAATGAACCCTGAACAGGAGGACATTCGTAAAATTAATGCGTACAGCGCCGAAGGTTCGGGCGAAATCAGCTTTTAAGCCTTAAGCTTGACACCAAAGCTTCGAACTTCGAACCCAGTGCCAGGAAGATTTCGGTGAGCTGACAGCCTACGACGGGCAGATGAAGATCGAGATCGATTTCGTCATTGTCAAGCCTCACGTGGACGAGGACAAGGAGGAGGATCTCTACCCACCACCCGGGCTCACCTTGGATGACCTCGAGGCCTTTTTCTCCGGGCCATGCGGACCCTCGCGGTCTTTTTTGAGACGATTTAGGGTGCAGAGTTTGTTTGGGGGGTCTGGGGCTTAGGCTGTAGGGAACCCGAATCTGAAAATGTTTTCACATTCTAAACCTAGGGTTCTTGAAATGTCGTGGTTTGAGATGGTTTGGGTTTCTCTGATTGCTGAAAGTTTCAAGCCACCATCACCAAAAACTGTTTTACTCCTGAGTTCCAAGCCCGCTCTAGGGATTCCAAATGCACATTGTTTAGACTTACCAAGCTGCAAGTAACTGCTAGTAAGTTCGTGGTTTCCCTGTTGTGGTGTCGTGATTTCCATGGAGGCCTGAACTTGGCAAAAACCACACAGATGCATTTCCGAACCCAACATTGGCCTTCCTCTGTTCGGTTAGGAAAAGTGTGATCCAGAGATAGTCGGACGAGTGATCTTGTCAACTTGAGGCTATGAGGATGTAGCGGTGTTGTAAATAGGATGACGGCTACGGTACTGAGTCCTGCCATGCTTGTATAGAGAGTTTAGGGTGGAGAGCTCCGAATGTTTGTGCTTCTAGGGTTGTAGCACTGGCAGCCCCAGCAAGAACTTGCAGCTGCGCCATGAAGATTGGGGCCATAATATGCTACATGTGCATTCGAAGTCCTCTTCCGATTGCTTCAAAATCTTCCTGAGTGTTCTCGTGTACGGGTTCAGCTACCGGTTCGGTTCAGTGTCCAGACTGTCTGTTGGCATAGGTCTTTTTCTGGTTTTTTTGGACATTAGTTGTAGGCTGTCACTGTGTCTTGTTACTCAGTACTTCTGCTATCAGAAAATATCTGTACATTTTTGTGCCGGGGTTGGATCGGCACAGAAACTGTATGAGACACCGTACGCCCGCAAAGGGTCTGCATGCTTTTTTTGGTTGGACGGTTTGTTCTGCAGGTGTCGAGTGTCGGACCCTGCAAAGTCTTGAAGCCTAAACCTGACGTCCTCAACCCTACTATAATCAATTAAAGTTACTAAAGCATACTTTAATGTGCTGTAACCTACTATAATACACTATAACATACTTAAACCCTAAGCCCTAAGCCTTGCAAAGCATGAGTGAACTTGAGTGTCCTGTCCTAGCATTCATGGGCAGGGTTTAGGATTCATATTATAGTATATGATAGAAGCTACTATAATCTCGGCTCCATGCGAAGCTCCCATACGGGGAACTGTGGGAAGATTTGCTGAAGCTTGGGAGATTCGGCTTCGGTTAAAGGCTTGCAGGCTTGAGGGTGGAAACCGGAGACCCGGACAGACCAACCCGGTTCGAACTGGGGCATCTGCATGGAGCCGCCTAGAAGCCCGCTCCAAACCACGGACGGGCCAGGGCGATGACCTGCCTCTGCCTGTCGGGGAGGGATCGGAGGCTGGGGACAGCGACGAGGCGCGCGTTCCAACTTCTGGTTGAGGACTTTGTGGGTTCGGAGAGTCTCGAGGGCTCTGAGGTTTCTGGTGTTCAGAGCGTGTTTTGATGGTGTTGTTGGGTGCTTTTTGCTCCTACGGCTTTCCGGAGTCAAGGTGCGGGTTCTGCAGGGTGAGGCGCCTTCAACCCGAGCACGGGCACACTGGGCAAGGATAATACGGTTCTTCCTGTGAGCCTTAGCTAGGTTGTGACGCAGCTGGAGTTGATATCTGTGCTTTAGGACTTCAAGATGTTCCATGGATCCAGAAAGTCATGATACTGTGGGTGCACGTACTCACCTTGCATGCTTGAATCATGACGGCTCAGGGCGATGATCGCTATTCTATTCCGGCTGTGGCTGTCCTCATAAGATTGCGCACTCAAACCGACTCAAACCCCATATTATGCGCCACAGACACAGACCTTCACAGACCCTTCCCAATCGAGCCAAGCCGCTTCACTTCCGAAGAAGCCAATGCTGTGCCTGCAACTGGTCCACCAACCCGAACCGAAAGCTCCTGCACTTCTGTGCTAGGTTCGGAAGGCTTCCACGAAGCCCTGATCGCTGAGTAAACAAACAACAAGAGCAAACTCAACCAAAGCCCTCGGAAGAGCAGGCTCCTTCCACGCCGCCGCTGCTTGCCTCTGCTTGATGTGTTAGTTGCTGATAAAGTTAACTGTGCTGATGAGGTTGATGATGGCCGTGATGTTGCTGTTGGTGTTGCTGATAGTTCTTGTCACTTACTGAGCATGCCGCTGATTTCAAACATGATGGTGGTGAATGCAGCGACGAACATGGTGATGATTCTCTTAGGGCCTCGCTTTACTGTTTCTACAGACATGATGTCGGTTATAATTAGTTGTTTAGCATCACTGCGATGGGTTCTGCGGCTGCTACTGGTAATTGCAATGGCGAGTGGACATTAGAAGAGGAAGCATGTGATGACCATGGATGACAATCATAAACTGATGATGCTGTTGATGGTGGTGTTCATGATGACGACGATGGTAATGATGCTTCAGGGTGTTGAACTATGACTACGATGGCGGTGGGTATGTTGGTAATATTCGTAATGCGGACGAGGGCGTCGACAGCAACGGTCATCCTGATCAAGATGATGACATCAATGGGTATGGGTGATATGTTGTCATGCTGATAATTTTGTTGTTACCGCTGCCGAGGATGATCCTACACGTCGGTGATAAATTGCAATCTTCTCACTGGCCGATAATCAATACGTGACATGTTACCCGAGGGAACGCCGCGTTGGGAATTGCGTTTTCAGGAGCTGGGGCTGGGAGTGTGGAGTCCTGGAGAAGTTGACGACAGCCCTGCGTACACTTGCTGTGGAAGAAATCTTTACATGTAAGTCCTGGGCCCTGAACACTAAGCCGAGAATTGAAGCACCCAGGCCTCAAGGAACTCCGACATGACCTAAGACACAAATCCTCTTGAATGCGGAAGAAGTTTTGGGCGTTGGGTTCGCCTGCGTTTTCTGCAGGGCTTAGGACCCAAACAAGATTCTGAAACTCAGAAAGGTCATCGAACAGCCGACCAGACACCGAAGCGTAAGACCTAAACCTCGAAGCCTCAATCCAGAAACCCTCAAGCCGCTTCCATGAGGTCACATCAATGTCCGCATTGTTCCTGACACCCATATGTAAATCCCTGCCAATCAAGGTCTACGGAGTAATTACGCCATACAGAAAATTAAAACCTGCTTCAACACCCTTCTAGGATATCCTAGGAAACCTTCAGTCCCGCCCGAGGCTGGACTTCTCCGATGACATGGCCGAGCTCACCGTGGAGCTCAAGAAAGCCGGAAAGCTCGACGAGCAGCCCAAGGCAGAGATTTGTTGGTGCTTTTCTTGAAGAGCGGATAATGCGATTGCTGCTGCTTTGCTGATGTTGGTTCAGGGTTTGAAGTGGAGGGTTTAGTAGGGGTGTTGATGGTAATTTGTTGGATGATGGTGACGTTCAGGTTAAACATGATGATGGTGCTGACGACCATGTTTTCGGGAACGGTCGTTATACACTATAAATGGCTTCCAACCTTAGCAGTGAATCGGCCATGGTATACTTAGATATGCCATAATTTACTTTACTGGCGATACAGTAATATATCATATTCAAAACCCAAAACCAAACGTTTCTGTATACTGTACTATAGCAAAGCATAATATATCTTGATATTTAGGCCCAGAGCCCCAGAACCGTGTGATTTTCCAGGGCATCGCCGCGAGGGAGGCAGCAGCTTGGATAAAGCAAGATTCGGAGATTCAGAGCTTTAAGCCGGGTTTCGAATGTTAAGAGGGTTTAGGGCTTAGGATTTCGGGTGTCGGGTTCATAAAAGGTTGTGAGAGTTCGCTTTCAATCTTTGAGCAGTTCTGGTGTTGTCGATTAGTTTTTGCCAGCTGCTCAAGGGAAATCAGGATGTAGTTGGATGGAGGCTTGCTGGGAGCAGTCAGTAGTGGCAATCGCACAGAGAAACCCGAGCGTATTTTGGAGCGATCGCTCTAGAGACGCGCCAATCATGAAGATCTTTGTTCGTCACTGCGGGCCAACCTTCCACGACTGCAAGAAGCTTCGCCGTGACCACCACCATCATCGTCGTCACCGTCAGCAGCGTAAGTAGTACACGATCACCAGGTCATCATGTCATCTGCTTCGCACATGGTGGCACCGTGACGTCAGTCACATCCATGGGCCCGCTTAGGCCGAAGTGGCGGCGAGGCAAGGTGTTGCAGACGCTCCTTGGAAGCACAGAGCATCGGGAGAGGCTCCGCCAGCTACGTGGGGTTTGAAAGATTTAGGAACCCCATCTACCAGGAACAGACGTATACATCATGTTACTGGTAGGTCGCAAGAGGATTTTCATGTCTTCCGGCAAGCGTCCTTATCTTAACACAGAAGTCAATACTTTGGTGAAGGACTTCAAAGCGTGTTTCGGATTGAAAGCATCCTACTGCCTGCATTCTGAAGCCCATTCTACGAATGTGGACAAAGAACAAACCTCAAAGCCTTAAACTTAAATTCCCTAAAGCCAAGAAACCCAAACCCGAACACACCAAGCCTGCCAAGTGTAAACTCCAAGCCCCGTAAAAGTAAGGGCTGGCATAGCATTAGCACCGGAAAGCCTGGAGGCATCGTTTAGGGATATCTAGCGGCTCCTTCAACAAAGGTTCTACTTACAAAGGGTTGCTTTTCGGCTTAAAGACAACGGCCCTGAAAAGTGGAACAGAGTTCTGGCACATATTTACGGTATATTTTCCATTGACTATCGGGGTGCGGTATGACTCATTCCGATCATTCCGACCCATATTAAGGGAGGTAGCCGAGTGAGGGTGGCTATTTGTTAGGCTGCATTTGGCAAGACTTGAGCCGAGTTATCGTGGTAGTAGGTTCGAGGAATCGGGTTCTACCGCGTTAGGCCTATGGTGCTGGTGCTTCGTCAGGGTTAGGGATGGGAAGCAGTGAATATGTACTGAGGTGAGGTAGTTCAAGTAAGCCCTGCAAAGACCTTGTTTGTGAAGCACCATGCCGTTCGTGAAATGAAATAAAGCCGCTTTCAACTCCATACAGTTTCGTAACCCCGGCAATTTTGTGAGCTCCTTCTACTCCCAAAGCCCGATAGCAGCCTTGAAGCCTGCACCTAAGCACATGGCTCAGGGTTCCCTTATTTTAGTTGGTTTGTTGTGGCATTTAGGGCTCGTTACAGGTTTTCGGTTGTGCATCATGTGCAATGCAAGGAGAAGCGGATGCCAAATATTTGGAACAATCCTTTTCCCGAATGGCCCCTCGGCTTCACTTGGGTGGCGCAGTGCAGTAGACAAGCACAGGCTTTATCTTACGATTCAAACTTCTTAGGGTCCAACTCTATAAGCAGCTTGTCGGTCACGGAACGCAACAAGGTCATTGGCCCATGTAACCGTACAGTACATCCAGTAGTCTCACCCTGAATTATTCTTTAGGAGCCTCATCGAGGGAAAAGTATTGAAGAAAGACAGTAACGACGGCTCATGGACACGTGGGAATGGGAGAGACGTAATCGCCAGTGTGCCTAGAATTTAGGGTTTCGGGTTCGAGGTTTAGGGTTCTGAGTTTAGGGTTTTGGATTTCTTGTGATGAAGCGTTTTCGGATATCCCCCCAAAGTCCCGTTCGAAAAGATAAGGCCCCCATGTTAGAAAGAGGGATCGACACCTCGAGTGTTCCTCGTGTGCACGAACGCCTCCGTTTGCGACCATCACGGATCACGGTTCAGCTTGAGGATTTCGCATCTGCGGACTTATGAACGATTGGGGCTCGGGTTTAGGGGTCTGAAGTTTGCTGTTTTCGGAGTTTAGGATTGGGTTTCGGGGTTTGGGGGTGTGGTGTTTCGGGAAGCAGCTGTAGGCTTCGGCTTAGGGGCTGCGCAACTGTGCACCTGTCTGACCGACTTTGAGCCGTGGCGGGCGACGGTATGCGCTTCGAGGAGTTCCAGCTTAAGGTATCAGCTTTAGTGTTCTTGCGGGTGGGTCCACTGAGGTTGCACAGCCAGTGGGTCGCATACTATTATCACGGCAGCCTGAAACCTCAAAACGAACCAAAACCTTACGAAGCCCTCAGCGCCAAACCTTGCAAGTGACAGAAGTGTTGAGCCATGGGCACAAGCCCTCAATGCCTTGACCCTTAACAGTGATCCAGCATCCCAAGCTTCTCAGCTTCTCCACCTGAGCCCGATCCACCCTTACCCTGAGACTGCATGCGCAGCTAGAACCGTACAAGCTTCAAAACCTGATTTCTGAAACCCGATGCACTGATCCCGAAAAGGATGTCGCTCTCCCACGCTGATTGTTGTTTGTTGCGCAAATACAAGAGGTCTCTGGAGACTGGTGGCTCCATGTTCTTTATTCCGGACGCCGAGCCTTAGTTGAAACCTGATCATCGAAGTTCAGAGGCGCACGTCTGCCAGACTCTACCGGCTGCAGACATGGCAGTCCGGCATGTACTGTAGAGGCGATGATTAAAGTTGAAGTTGAGGCTTCTCAGTTTCGGGTTTCACGGTTTCGGCTGTGCTTAGGGCTTGTTGGGACTTAGACAGAGCTTTAGGGTGGCAAAGTTCGCTTATTGTACACTCTAAACCCGACTCACTCAGGAAAGAACCCTGTAATGAAGCCTCATGGAACCGTTTGCCAACTCCTCTCAGAGACACCTACAAGGAGCCCTGAAAGCGAAGAGCCTTTGAAGGAATCCTTGTCATGAGAGGCCGTTCTTGAGCGAGGAGTGGGACAACAGCCGGCGCTCGGGTTTGCTTGAGGTTCGGCCGCAGGGCAACCCCAAACACTTTATAGTTCCTATGCACCAAGTGTAAGACTATGAGGCATCTATCGACATCTATCTCTCCTATCTATTTATCTGTCTATCTATCGATCTATCTATCTACCTATAAGTCGTGATGTATAGGTATAGCATAGCGGCGTATATGTACAGCGTATCTTAACACAGGTAATATGGCAATATGAATAACAACATCTGAGGAGCGGTATGCCTGGTCTCCCTCTCTTCCACCGCCACCGCCACCTTCGATGCTGGGTCGACGGCGCATCCGTGCCTTACCTCTATTTCACACCAAGTAATTAAGCCCCACAGTTAAAGGTCCTAGAGCCTGAGAGCCCCAAACTCTGAACCTCCGCACTGAAGCTTAAAACCCTCAGATGGAAGTCCAGCCCACAAAACTTTCACATGCCGTGTCGGGGACCCATCGCCTGACCCCTAAGCCTGAACCCAAACCCCTAAAGGCGCGCTGAAACTTTGCACCCGAAAGCTGAGGCTGAGGCTTCCAATCTCAAAGGTCATAGAGTTCACGCCGTCAGATCGCTGAACCGGAGACAATAGTGTCATAAGAGAAGTATGTGGTGCAGGCCCCTACGCAATTATACTTCGATTTCCAACTCTTCGGGCCCACATGTTGGATCACATACCATAATTATGGCAGTGCAGAGCTGGGCATTAAAGCTCAAAGCCCTGAACCCTAGTACCCTAAACCCTGAATCCTTGAAGACCCTAGACCCTAAAAATACCTTAACTTCTTGAAAACACTACACACCCTAAACCCTGAACCCTAAAGCCCCAAAAGCCGCCTAAATTCACAAAGCCGTTGTTGCCAGCCGCCCCCCCCCCTTGTCTTCCCTTCTTTCGGGGGCGTAGTTGTGGTGGTTTTAGGGTCTAGGAGTCTAGGGCTTTTTAGGGCTTTTGAGCGTGGGGATTTAGGGATGTTAAGGGTTGGAGTTTGGGATGCAGGGATTAGGCAGGGTCTTGTATAAGGCATCCTTACGCCTTACAAGATCTGCTAAGGCCTGAAGCCACGCTTGCCTCTCACTTTGTCCAACCACCGCTACAAAGACGAGTGCCTCGACCCGTGCTCGGTGCGGTTTGGAGTTTAGTGTTACGGGGGTTGCGGCCAGGTTTGCGGTCAGGGGTTCAGGGCTGAGGGCTTGAGCGATTAGGTTCTTCGGATTGTTGGAAGGCTTGACGTGGTTTCTTGCATGTTGCCTTGAGTTTACCCTCTTCTGAGGTCCAAAGCTTGCAAGGCCAGCCAGCCCCAAAGTGTACAAGCAGTCCTCGCTTATGCAGTACACTGCCGACGCTGCGATGCCAACCCGATCAGGAAGTTTTCCAGGAGATCAAAAGGCCAGTCCTAACAGCTCGAAAGAACGGGGTTTTATTTGCACACCCCATGTTTTTCAAAACCGTGCGATGATGGCTGGTACTGCTATAGTCTAGATGTCGGAGCTCCCACATCGACAGAATTTCGGTCGGGTAGCACTTTAGCTACAGAAGGTTCGGATCCGATAATGGATTTTCTCTGGAACTCGAGACCACACCTCCCGGTACCGTTTTGGTTTCTGCGAAGGGCTGGACCCCTGAGAACCCTTAAACTATCTCAACCCAGCACCAGGACCCTTACCCTACCTGGGCTCTAGCTCCTCAACTATGCTGAGCCCCAGATCCTACCCTAAACCCTCGGAATCCTAAATCTTCAGAGTCCCTAAACCCTCAACCCTCAGGATCTGAACCCAGATCCAAAATCTTTAACTCTCCAGGCACCCCAACATCTGGCCGCCGGACCAATTTAGCCCGGGCCAGGAGCACGATGGGAAGAGTTTTTGGAGGGGTTGAGAGGTGTGGTCCTTATGCCAGGTTTCTTCAGGTTTCGGAACCCCAACCCAGTTGATTTTCGCCTGCAAGTTGCAAGCTGCGAGTTGGGCCCGTCGTTTTATCAAGCAGTGCACATTCCTGATGCAGAGCAAATTTCACCATATCCCCTCGACCCCAAACTCAATCAACTTCAGCTACAGCACCGTCAAACATCGAACCTGCGAGTCCCTGTCATCTCTTCAGGTTTCTCTATCGAGCTCCCAATAGCAGCTTCTCGCGACACCTGTCCGCGGTTCTAGGTGAGTTTGTCGGGATAGCCCGAAATCCCTTTCTCTTGCACCCCCAAGCTCTAAGCCCTGACGATCTCGACAAATGTCTTCAGCGAGAACATTCAGACCCACCCACTCTCTCTGTCTATCTGTATACACACACATATATATGTATATACATATTTGTATATATATATATATATATACACATACACATTCATAGCACAACACATACCTACCTATGTATCTATATATACATGGTTCGATCATAATTAGTGCTGTATGTGCGTATATACATATATAGAGAGAGAGAGAGAGAGAGAGAGAGAGAGAGAGAGAGAGAGACAGAGAGACAGAGAGACAGAGAGACACAGAGACACAGAGACACAGAGACACAGAGACAGAGAGACAGAGAGACAGAGAGACAGAGAGACAGAGAGACAGAGAGACAGAGAGACAGAGAGACAGAGAGAGAGAGAGAGAGAGAGAGAGACAGAGAGACACAGAGACACAGAGACAGAGAGACAGAGAGACACAGAGACACAGAGACAGAGAGACAGAGAGACAGAGAGACAGAGAGACAGAGAGACAGAGAGACAGAGAGACAGAGAGAGCGAGAGACAGAGAGAGAGAGAGAGAGACAGAGTAGATTCCGGGAACTCTCCGCGCCTTGATGATTACAACGGTGCATTGGGAGATAACATGTTGCAGAACACATGCCCCTCATCCCAGGTAATGCTCGTATGCTTGGAGTCTGAGAAAACCAGCGCAAACTCTGGGTCGGGATTCTCGCCAAAAGCCTGCAACAAAGTTTCGATGAACAGCCCACAGAAAACAATGCCTCATATGTAGTTGAAGAGGCTTCGGTCAAGGTGTTAGGCTTTCATTTTGCGGATCCTTACTTCGCCTCTCGAGGGATGTTGGAGTCTCGAGGACGCTTTCACCCTAAACCGCAGGATCATTACAAGTCGTTTGAGCAGAAGTTGCTCACCTACGACCTCTACAAAGGCCTTTTCGAGATGGTCCTCAGTTGCCGAGTTGTCATGAACTCACAGCTTAGTCAAAGTAGCGCATCGTAATCAGTGGAAGTGTAGACTAAGCCTTGAAGACCCTGGTGCAGGTAAGCTGGCTGCTGGAGCATATTCTGTCATGGCTAAAATCCTACCCTAAGGAACTGTCATAGCAACATGGGACTTATCATGTAAGCCTTAGCCCCTCATTAATTATGGCGCCGAGCGCCAGAGCTATTCCAAGCCCGAACCAAAAGAGCAGGCCTGCAACCCAGGTAGGGACCTATAACCTACTGACAACCCTGCCGAGCACGGCCCCTCTTCACATGCCTATGCATCGTACATTCCTTCAGGGCAATTTAAGGTCCTGGTGAACCCTGAGCTCCCAAACTCAGGGTCTGACATAAACCCCCAAGGCAAAAAAGCCGAAGAATTGAAGCCTGAACTCTCAACCACCGAACACTGCCTAGACCCCTCGCTTGAACCCTACAGCCTCAATCCCCGCGATGTGCCCTCGATCCCACAGACCAAAGCCGAAGCTCTACGCTCTAAGCATCCCTGCACTCTAGTTAGCATAGGGTGTTAGGGCATTATGTAGTAAGCAGAAGTGTACAACAAAAACTATACGGAGAAGTCCTGCCAGTCCTTTCTCAAACTCTATAACATTCTATAAAGCCCATATGAACCGCCTTAGAAACCTGATTGAAAAGGTAACCCTAGAGTTGCGGCCGAGCACGGAAGGTTGCGTGGAGTCCCTGGCGAAAATGCCTCGACAGGCCCAGCAGTGGGTCTGCTTTGGCTGGGCTTTCGGGCGTGACGAACAGGGTAATACAGGGGCTTAATTGATTGACATGGCATTTTACGGGCATATACGGTATAGTATACCAAATTGGTATAGTATGGAACCCAAAGGAACACTCTTAATGACCAACTTTTGCAGGCTTCTATATGACCAGGCTACTCCTACAGGGTAGGGCTGCCATGAGGGATCTGCGAGGTTTTCAGGGTTAAGGTATATGTATTGGGCTTTAACTTGGGTTTCGTTGTCGGTTGTGTTGGGTCTGTAAGGTTTGTAGACGTAGGGTTATGGGGTTCAGGGTTGAGTTTAATGTTCAGAACGGTTACAGGTTTGAAACAGCTGTTCGATTCAGGCGGTTTCGGTAGCGACGGACTGTTTCGGTTGCTGATTTGGGTTCGGGTGCGTGTCTATTGTGCCTATGAGTTTCGAAACTCCCCAAAGCGGCATCAAAACGGGCAAGGCGATCCCTAGCGGCCCTAGTGCATGTACCTCCATCGTCACACTTCATATCCCGAATCCTAAACCTAAGCTACACGCTACCCCAAACTCCGAATCACAACAGCTTCGCAACCTGCACTCCTAAGAGCTGTGGCGCATAAGACCTCAGCCCCGAACCTGCCCCCTTATCGCTTTACTACAATAGGAACCAAACCCCGATTCTGTTTTCGAACGCCCTGAGAAAACTGCTTATAGTAACCCTTATGGAACCCGTAAAGGCGACATGAAAAGGAGCAGCCCTATGCGAAGCATAAGAGCCCCTACACGAACCCCCAGCTCCGAAGCTTCGACTTCGAATACTGGCCGAGGAGTTTGCCAAGGACGATTACCGACATCGACTCAAGTTCGGCAGTGGCTAGGACTAGGATGTCTAAGGGATATCAGGGTTGGAGACTTTGGGGGTTTTGGGCTTGGGGTGTGGAATTTAACGCGTGGAGTTCAAGTTCCATTCGGCTGGATTCACGAAGGGTGTTCCGGGAGGGTCAGGAGACTGGATGTCCCGGGCTAAGTTTGGGATTCAGATGTCGCCATTCCCCTCTGGCTTGGTCTTGACTTGAGGGTCCAGCATTCAGGTATTGGGGGGGGCGCGGGAATGGTCAGGAGGGGTTTTTGGATTTAGGGCTAAGGAGCTTTCGGGTTTGGGATTCAGGATTTAGGGCTTGGGAGTAAGAGTTTGAACTTCCATGCAATCGTTTTCTTGAGTTTCTTTGGGCGTGGTTTTTCAGTCCAGCGCCGCGCTCCTTGCGGTGCGCGCTTGATGGAGCCTTAGGGTATGCTATGTACCTCAAACCCTTCTAGTACCCTTGTGGATCCCTTACAGGAACCCTTATGGATCCCCACATGGAGCCTTCGGAAAAAACGATCCGAGGCTTCCTATAAACCTCACAATATCCTAAAAACCCAATAAACACCCTCTGGAACCCCTCTAAAACCTCACAAAAAATCACAAAAAACGCTCCGAGCCCGATCCGGTCCGAGGCTTCATGGAGTCCGCTTTGCGGGGCTCCGTGGCCTGGCGAAACTGGCGGCGCCGCGAGAGCCGGAAGCGCAAAACCGAGGACACTCTCGGACGCCTTGTTAAAAGGGATGGGGGAAGAGGGGGAGGGGGGGTTTTGGGGCTCAGGGGGGTTATGGGGCATTGCAAGGGGTTTAGGGTTTTTCTCTGCCTTTTCGGAGTTTCCGAATGGGACCCTAAGATAGTAACGATAGTACCCTAAATAGTAGGATCGTTATGACAAGGACCCCAAAACCAGATACCCCTATTTATCGGAAACTCCTTTTTAAAAAGAAGGCAAGGGGGGGTTTAGGAAGGGCTTTAAGGGGGGAAAAGGGGCATTGTAGGGGGTTCAGGGTGGGTTTGGGGATTCAATAGCTTCAATAGAAGCCCTAGAGCCTTGAATCCATCAGAAGGTATATAGTGGCCTCGTTCTTTCGCTTCTAAGCCTTACATTCCTAATGCACCTAAAGCCTAAACCCTGAAATCCTAAACCTTCAAAGACCCCAAAACCCGTCTAAATTCCTGCAGTCACAAAAACCCTTAAATCCGAATCCCTAAAATGCTTCAAAACCCCTTAATTCCCATCCCTAAACCCCTTAAAGCATAGGCCTCATAGTGGTGTGCCTTTTTGGGATCACCTTATCGGATTCTAGGTATGACCCCTAAAAAGGAACTACTCTGGGGCCTATGGGTTAAAACCCCCCCTAAATCCCATAATCCCTAGAAAGACCCCCTAGAGCCTCTAAATAAATCCTTTCGTGGGAGTCTGCAGACTTTATAAGGTTTCGGATGGATGGGGTAAAACCTTTGCAAGAATGAGGCCTCTACTGCAGAGGTTAAGGCCTGTTACAAGGGATCTAGGAGTTGCATATCGCTTCTCAGATGTCTGCAGGGTTTGGTGTTTGTTGACTGCGTTGGTTTGGGGCAGCTCGCGTGGTTTCGAAGCCGCTTGCTTGGGGTAGGTGGCTGCTCTTTTGCCAACGTGGCTTTTGGGTGGGTGTGTTGCGGTGGGGGCTTGGGAGCACAGTTTGAGCATCGTACGTACTTGGTGTCAGTGGGAGCTGCTCACAGGGCCGCAGCCCTAAATCAGCCTGTGTTTTCACTTGTTTCGCTGATTCGGGTGGTACAGTTGATCATGAGCAAGCATTGGATGTTGGAGAGCTTCACCACGCTATTGGGGCTGTACGTGGGAGGAGCATACAATTTGCTTGAACCACTTCGGGACACTGCACCTTTCACATGGCTTTGCATGTGGGCTGTGACTGGGTCGAAGGCTACAATATCCCAAAGCCGAAGTTCAAAGAAGCCTCGAAATTCGGACATCAGTGGACATCTTCGGCGAAGTGCTGCCGCAGCAGAGTCGAAACGTCGTCCAAGTCGAAGTCAAGCTAGAAGAATCACAACTCAGACGGCTTTAACCCCCCGTCACCCCCTTCAAAGAAGCGCCTTAAAACTTAAACCCTATAAACTCTAATAAAGTGTATCGGGTTTAGGGTAAGTTTGTTATAAACCCTAAACCCTATAAATCCAAAAACGTAGAAACCCCGACCCTAACCCTTGCCCTTCCGACAAAGCAACAGCCGAAAGGTGGACTTCGCCCAGGCCATCAGACCCGCCAAACTCCCTTATATCCCTTGAAGTAGTAAGTCCTTGTAAGGATCCCACTGCAATCTAAAGTCTATTCCTAAATTGGGGGATTTGGGAACTAAGATCTCATCTAAAGCCTATTCCTAAATTAGGGGATGTGGGAACTACAATCTCATCTAAAGTCTACTCCTAAATTTGCGGATTTGGGAACTACAACCACAACCTAATCTCAAGCCTTTTCCTAAATTAAGGAATTTGGGAAGGTGCACTTGGTCAGGAGCAGAGGAAGCAGAAGGAGAGGGAAGCAGAGGCCCGCCGGAAGCTGGAAAAGGCGGTGGGGGGGAGGGATACTTCAGGCTTCAGACTTCAGGATTTTGGGGCTGTAGGGTGTAGGGTTTTTTATGCTTTAGGGTTTCACGGCTTTAGTTGAGACCTGGAGCTCGCGGCCGTGAGGGTTTAGTTTTACGGTCGGCTCAGGGCCGACGGCTGTTTTTTGCGAGTTGTCGATTTGGCAGAGCTCTTAGGGCTGCTGTGTGTCTTTTGTTTACTGCGTGTTTGGCGTGTTTATTCGGGCCAGCATCATGCTGCGGCCTACTTTCGGTCTCTTAATCTGGATCGTATAAGGGTGACTTGATTGGCTTCTTGCTTTGGTGCGTACTTGAAGCCCGAGTTCAGGCTCGGTGGCACAGGGGAGCATCAATTTGGGACTTGGGATCTAGAGCCTTTGCTTGGGGGGCCCAACGGTTGAAGGGTGCCGGGCTTTGCAGGCTTGTGGGGACATTTGGTTCTCCAGGGTTATGGTTCCTTGGGGGCCTTAAGTCCAGGTCTTCGGGTTTAGGGTTTTTAAGGCTGAGGGTTTACAGGGCTATGTGGGGCTTATAGGGTTTGTTTTGGAGGTTTAAGGTTCGGGGTTTAGGGACATCATCCCTGCCAGGCCACATGCCACCGTCCTCTGCCACCTTGAAGCCGAAACCCTAAACCCCAACAACAAACCGTAAAGCCTCCAAGCCTAGAGTCAAATCATGCTGCCTTGTTTGCCTTGGACCCGCATTGCCCGCCACCGGCCTCAAGCCCAGAATGGCAAACTAGTTCTTCAATTAGCAGCGGCAACAAGAAGAGCCGAGACCATGCCGCCGGGAATCGGAACGGAAACAGGGACAACTACCTTTTGGAGCAGGAGCGGAAGCAGAAGTTGGCAGAAGAAGCACTTCGCTTGGCGCAAGATGATGATGACTGAGGGGTCCAGGATATCCAGCAGGGCTTTGGGCCTATGCTGTCGAGTTGTTCGGGGCTTAATAAGTTTAAGAGCTGCGTACGGGTGAGAAAACTTCCGGAGGTTGTCTGGCAAGCATCTGCAAAGCAGACATCCATTGCAATTATTTCGATGTCCCCGCCAGGGACGCCATGCAAGTTGCTAGCACAGAAGAGCAGTTTCAGTCAGAGAGCATTCCAATCAGTTGCGACTCGAAGTCTTTTCAGTGCCTCAGTTACTTAAGGTGGAATCTGCCGCGGTAGGCGGCGATGCATTGGCTCTGACCGAAGTGCCTTCTGCTCACCGGATTCGGATAGGAACTGCCACTGACTCTAGTGCTAAGCTGGGGAGCGGATGTGTTTTTCTTGCCGGAAGACGTGCCGCCTACTAAAACGGTACGGCCCCTCGTGCTTCCGGCATGTCTCACCTGGTAGCTCGATTGATGCGAGCGGTCTACAACATGATATGGCACAGCGGGTTGAGGGGGCAGCAGGATGTATATAGTTGGTCCCACTGTCTAGAACCAACACCGTCAGGCGAACCCAGCGCATTAGCCCTGACACTCCAGCAATCGGATTCCCAAACTTCATGTCAAGATAACCACGGTATCTATGCGGTACGCAATATATACCAACACCATATTCGAACCTACCTCATGTCTCGGAAAGGCATGTCTTCACGAGAAGCTCAAGAGACCTAAAGCCCAGCCCGTCCGTAAACCGTTGGTAGAGGTATCAGCCGGCTGCAGCAGGAGCCTTTTGCATGGGTTCGGGTTTCAGCTGCGCAGTCATGCTGCTTCGATATGCATGGTGGAGGGTTGTGCTGCAGACAGGAGCATTCCAGAAGAGTCGCCTGACGTTGCTCAATCACTGATGCACAGTCGAAGCGCATCCCCAAATCACCCCCCCTATGTTTATGTCTGTCTGCACCGGGCCAGGGTCGTTAAGCCTCAGCGGCAGAAGAATCCCATGCGTTTAAACTTCAATTCAAGATTTAGCCTTTATCGTCAGTTATGCGAATATCTAAGTAACTTAAAGTATTACACGCCCAACATCCCAATGTAAGATGCCAGTTTCGGTGTGGTGGAAAATCCTCGACTTTCCGTAAACCCTCAAGCTCGAACCTGCACGCATAAAGCTTGATCCCCACAAACCTTTCAAGCCAAAGCCTGAGCCCCAGATGTCCTCAAGACTCCAAGTATACAAATCACGCCTACGTCATCCTAAACCCGAAGCCGTAAACCCTTAGAGCCGAAATAAGCCCCTAAACCAAGTTTCAGTCTCCAAAAGTCTCGAAAGATTTATATGCCTTGGTCATTTCGGACCCTTGGGGAACGGGGTTCCCAGCTCCCCGTATGCCATGGAAGTCCCTGCACCACGCCCGCCTCCGGGCCTGGCCGCTCGGACTTTTAGGCTCCAAGGACTCAAGATTTAGCTAAAGAGCTTGAGATGCCAGGACTAGGCACTTTTGGGGCGTGCATGATTGTGTGTGTGTACATGTAGGCACGCGCATATCGTCGTGTATATGTACATACCGAAGATAAAGCTGAGGGTTGTTTGGGTCTTAGCTTCGCAGGTTTTGGAGACTTGCCCGGCTTATTTGTTTTTCAGCGAGCTTTAGTTTGGGTGGTGAGGGAAATGGCCACTGGCTTCCGGGCTCCGGCGGAGCAGTAGCAAATACTGGTGTTTGTCAACATCCGCTGCACAGTTCCTACGTAATGCATTCGGTTAGAGACGGGTCGTGCTGAGCAAGGCTGGGACAAAGAAGTTTGTCCTTGTAATTCCTAGCATTCCGGCCATTTGACTAGTTCAACTGTCGTTAAGCAATTTAGACGATTTAGCCTGCAAGAGAGGTGTGCCACAGTCTTCAATTCAAGGGGATCTACTTTCCGAGAACCCTCTCAACATCAAAAGCTAAACGCTCCAAACATCGCCCAGCCGCTTCAATATCCTTCTTCTGAAACGACCCTCACCTCAACATGCATGGACCTTTGAATCAGCCATAAAGGGGTACCCAAGCCTTAAAGCCCCTCAGGGACCCAAAAAAACCCACTTAGATCTGTTTCCGAAAATAGGGGACCCAAATATAGTACCCTACATAAGAGGATCCTTATTATAAGGACCCCCAAAATAGGGTACCCCCATTTTCGGAAACTCCCACTTAGATCTGGACTCCAAGCGCCTGCCGGCCGGCCGGGCGACTCTTCGAGGCACAGGGGGAGGGGGCTAAAGAATACCAGTACTACTTTAGGGTTCTTTATATTGTAATCATAGTATAGTATAATGGGACCGAAAATGTAATCATACGGTTGATGATATAAATTCTGCATTAGCCATACTAAGGAAAGTACCATAATTCCCATAGTTTAGGGTCATGAAGGTAATGCAGGATTTATATCATCAACAGTAGTAGAGTATAGTGGGACCGAAAATAAAACCCCATTCCGAGTTTAATAAGGCCCCTAAATTACAGAGGCGGTCATTCCCTGCGTGTCCAAGCGCTGAAAAGTCATGTCACGATGCTAATCTGGACGCTACTTAGGGTCTGCCTTGGGGTCCTCATGCTCCTGACAATCCAACCTACAATTTCTACTATGCTGGAACCGAGTTTTGTTTGACTATATGATTGGATGCCTTGGACACGTAGAGGGTTTCGTCACAACGGATCTAGAGCTGTAGGAACAGGCGTATGTTGGAAGTTTAGGGGCTCATGCACCGTTGTCCGTGGTTTCGGGTTCGAGCTACAAGAACCTGAGCTGCCCTTCTAGTTAATCACCCCACCTAGAAGCACCCTTGTAGCTTCAAGTTGCGGGCAGCTCCGGAAGGTGAAGTCTATATATATATATATATATATATATATATATTAATATGACCCTAATCCCAAGCCAATCGCTAAATCCTATGGGCCTATCTAGGAGCTTCAAGGCTTCGGCTCGGAAAGTGGGTGGCTTGTTGGGCTTTGGGGCTGTAATGCTCAGCGAACCTAATGTTTCCCCACTTTTGGAGCTCTAGAAACAAGCGCGACTCACAGCGCTCCTGCCACAAGAGTGGTCGGAGGCCATCGCGATGGAGATCAACAACATCAAGGTTCCTTACAGAACCGAAAAACTATCTATCGTCCGATATCACTGCTCTGCACGGCCTGCAGCCTGTTCGCCCGCATACTGCAGAAGTGACTGGAGAAGGCCATTGATGAGCAGCTTACAGGCCTTAGGCCCTCACAGTTTGGCTTTCGCGCCGGCCTCTCCAGTTTACAGCCCATCCACATTGCACGACGTAGCTTTTGGTACGCTGGCGCCGTTCTGATATCGTTTCACTGCATGCTGAGGCGCAGATGAACCCGAAATAGCATCATCCCCCAGCGATGTCCCAGACAGCGCCTGGAGCCTAAACGTGGCACAGAAGGTCATGTTGAGTCATGTTGAAGTTCAAACCCTTCCTGCGAGAATCCCCAAACGGCTTGTTCTCTCAAATCCATATAAGTTTTCAAATTTACAGGCAAGACCTACTCAAGTCCAGGAATCGAGCACATCGTAGAACATGGAATTAGGGACCGTAATTTGGAATTTTAATTCAGCTATACTTGGGCGCACTAATTCCAGGCTCGCACTGCGGAGGAGGCGGTATGCTGCGTCCGCCGCTGGGGCATCGCGGCGCCTTGTGCGGAAGTTGTAAAACCAAAGCCCAGATGCCTGAACCTCCACAGGCCCAGCAGTGAACCCCTTATGGAACCGCTATACAAACCCTAGAAGCTTATACTTTACAGAGCCTAAGCTTGAAGGGGGCTACGGCATTTCGGTATGCAAAGCTTCTTGTCGCTGTCATGCGGGGTATGCCTCCAGAAAGACTCGACAAACAGTTTCAACGAGGCGTCAGACTAGGAACTCCCGGGACCCGAAGCCCCAAACCATAAAACCCTACAAGGATTCATGCTTGTTCTGTAATCAAAGCTTTTAGTGTTGGGTCTTTGCAGGTGCTAGCAAAGGCGTTCATGAGGTTTAGGGCTTCGTGGACTTTGAACCTCACCTGTTCGTCTAAAGCTGCAGCTTGGGGTTCAGGCCAGGCTCCACTCCTCTAATCTAAGGCTCGGAAGAGTTATAATCACCACAAAAATAGAAACTCCCATTATACCTGCAGAACGGGACTATACTATACCCCAAACCCAATTCTATAGTTCTTAAAGACATCTTGGAATATCGGGCTGCGTGTTATGACCCAGATTTGAAGGAAATCGCTCTTGCAACTTCCAAAACTACTTGCATCATTAGCATCTCTTACCCCAAGGGGCTCCAGTTACCTGAATGGTAGGTTACTGGGGTACTGGGGTATCGAATATATGGTTAGTAACTTACTATTTAGGCAACTGGAGCCATGGGGTTATAGAACCCTTAAGGGTCAGCCCTAGAGGAAGCTCTTAACGAAACCCATACTCCGCAGTGGACTGGGCAACCTTTAAATTATTTGGGGTACGACAATCCCCACCACACCTTCCCACAGGTTAGCCTTCAGTTCCTTAGAATACTGGACAAGAGACCTTGAAGGAACCCTTGAAAGAAGTTCTAGCGAACCTAGAGACTCAATGAGGTGCTCCGCGCAGTTCTGCCGCTGTCTCTCGTGTCGATTTGGCATGCGCCACGACCGCATGTTTAAGTTTAGGGAGGCGGGGTTATGGATTATAGGGCTCAGGGACCGGGGTCTAGGGACTGTAGGGTTTAGCGATGCGGGTTTATTGATCAGGTGATTCGGGTTTAGGGGGAATGGTTTCAGGAATAGGGTTCAGGGATAGAAATTAGGGCTGATTGTTTTTCTTGTTCAGGTTGGACCGTCCTTGGGACACAGGATTTATCAGGTCTTCGTATGCTGTCATGTCCCACGACGCACCAGCGACCCGCTCGGAGCAAGCATTGAGAGCCCTTAGTGATGCTTCGTTTACCCGACCCCCGACATTCCAAGCACCAGGAAAGGCAAGTAGCAGTTTCATATACT